GTCATCAATGCATCTCTCGTGCATCAACATGATGCAAGTGATGAACCACGAAAGCTTCTCTACTACTATATCGAGGTTTCCGCATATTTCCATCCAATATTTCTCATTTCTAAAATGCAATAATTAATCAGAATAACAATCATAGAAAAATTCATGTTTAATTTACAAACAATCATAGAAAAATTCATATTTAGTTTACATTCATTTTTCATTTTTAATTAACAAAATGATTGACTGTTAGGAAAGCATAGGTAGGCTTTACGATATTATTCAACGTGGAATGCCTTCTGAAAATGGTTGCTTTGGGATGGAACGGATATATACGATTGCACAAATTTGAATTTATTTTGTGCATTGGAAGTACATTGAATATCATCAAGCCACTCTATTCAATGAATATTTTCACATATTTTCAAGTTTTTCGTATCGTTCGCCTCATTCGTGCTTCACCAATGCTTGAAGATTTCATCTATAAGGTTGTTAGCTTATTTATTTAACGAAAAAAAAAAACATTAAATTTTCAGTCTATCTCTTTATTTTTTGTCAGTTCCTAAAAGTTTTTTTTTCCAAAACTGAAAATATTTTTTTCCAAAAAAAGCATACAGCTTAATAATGCATAATGCAAAAGGAAGTAATAAATCAGTAATGTGAAAGAAATAATTACTTAACAAACATTTTACTTACAATTTTACTTTGCATGCTTAAATAAATTTTTCATCACTTATAAAAGACAATTATCTGTGAGTTAAATTGAAGAGATAAAGAGAGATATGACGAGATGAATACAATTTGATACTGAGACGAATAGCTCTGTAAATTGCCACCCTAACAAATGGAAAAATTGAGTAAACATAATGATCGGTTAACAGATTATTTCGCGATACAGATAATTCCAATTATAGATATTTGGGCCGGGAAAAAAGTTAGGTGGTTTGGTAGTGTTTACGATGGTACTACTTGTTATTACTTCCGCTATTTCATTACAACTCTTCTGTTATGTACCAAATTTGGATAAATTTCGAACATTTCCGCAGGTAAGCTTTTTAATTTTTCTCACAATGCTAATTTAATTTACAGTTTATATAATTACATGTGGAGTGTTTTTTTAGGCATTTATGTCAATGTTTCAAATAATAACACAAGAAGGATGGACTGATGTTGTAGTGGAAATTTTACGCACCACAAACGAATCAATGGTACCATTCGTTGCAATATACTTCGTTGGATATCATTTATTCGTTACTTTGGTACCTTTCATTCCTTATATAATTTCGATATTTCATTCTTTAAAATGAAATCGCTTCATTATCGTAGAATTACGGAGTATTATTGATGAGTTGAAACACAGAACTTTTTTCATTTTCATGATCTAAAAGTTTTGATTAACTAATTAAAATAAGAACAGTTCACATCAGAATGCTATTTTAGATTGTTTTATCGTTATTCGTTGCTGTTATTCTCGATAATTTGGAAATGGATGAAGAATTGAAAAAGGTGAAACAACTCAAAGCAAGAGAAGAGGTAGGAATGTAACAGTTGAGATATTATCATCCAAATATGCAATTTTTTTTTGACGAAGAAATTCAAAAATGAAATCGTTTTTTTTCTCTCAATCTCAGAAATTCGTACTTCAATGAATATGATTGATAATGTTGAGAAAGAATAATGAAAGAAAAAAAATATCGGATGATATAGCTGGAAGCTATTTGCAGACTACATGTATGCGTACAACACTTCCATGGCGATTGAAAATTTTTGAAAAATTTCCAACTCGACCACAAATGGTTGAATTACGAAAGGTATCCAGTGAATTTCCGCTACCAAAAGTGCGACAGAGTTTCACAAAACAGTTTGCGGAAGATAATACTCTGACGTACAATTTATATTCTGAAGGTGATTATTATTTTTAAAAATGATAAAACTACTCTAATATTAATGCTTCTTCTCTCTATCTTAATGCTTTTTTTTTGAAAAAATAATTTCAACAATTTAAGAAAGTCATTTTAAATTTCAAATACTAACAGTTTATGTACATTTTTGCTTTTTAATGGTAAATAGATTATTTGGCAGAAATCATCTCGATTTATTTATTTATCATTTCAGAATGGGATCTTCATCAGAAGCAACTGTTACATAATATTGGAAGGACATTTTTTCGTAGCACCGTTACTGTACGACAGATCGGTCAGCTTTCATCAAAATGGACAATTAACATTTTAATCGAGTATGAGCTTGCAGTTATTCATTGAGAAAATGGACTAATGCAATTTCTAAAATAGATTATTATGATTTGCAGAGAAGCAAATCGGAATCGTGCCCTTTTTCTGGGCTCAAATCAGTACATTGCTCAACTTGGCCAAGGTGGTACACGAATGTGGGGAGATTCGAGGTGTACTCATTGTTTTATTCACTCTTTTGCAGTATCTCTAGAAACTTCATCCTAACCTGTTTTCGTAGCATCATTATAACTGATCAATTTTACAAATGAAGCATATTATAAGCTGGTAGGTATTGAAAAGGCATCAATACAGATATCGTAACAGAAGTATAAATCGGCCGATGAAATTGAAAGTTGTTTATGAGCATCTGAAGGAAAATGGTGACGTACGGTTGGTGGATTCGGCACCAAAAAATGATTTAAAACATGGTGAAATTGATATCAAAGCATTGCAGCAGAAGCGACAACATGCAGAATTGACCAGGTTGTTTTTTGCATTTCTTATGTTATTATTTACGGCAATGATATCTGAAGCTAATCTTGAAAACTTTAAAAAATATACTTATTTCGTGTCTATGCTTTTATTTACGCTATTCAGTCTTATCAATTTTATTAACTCTATTGATCTAGTTAATTGAATAACTTGTTTATTTTGCTAATTTTATCAACTCCAATATTGATTCATAATTATTGTTTTGAAAGATGATAATATTTATAATTTAAGGAATCGAATTGAAGAAGAAATTCGCGAGAATCATCCTTTTTTTGATCGTCCACTTTTTATCGTCGATCGTGATTCACGTTTTAGACATATCTGTCAAGAAATAGTTTATGCTAAATATATGCCTGTTAAAATCGACTCAATTACTGGAAAACCGATACAACAGCGCTACAAACAACTACAGTCAGTTTTTCCCTACATTTTAACTTAAATCGACAAATGCTTAATTTTCTTCTATCCTGTCATCTTTAAAGTATAACGAAGTAATGCATACATTGGGTTACAGTAATGTTACTCATTTATTGATAATTTGAAAACTTCTAAAATAATATCAACTTATTTGTTCAATTTCCCGAGAAAATATTTCATGTTTTTAGCATTTTTAATTCTCTTTTGATTCATAGAGAAGTAGCGCTTATTAATTATAATTTCATTCATTCAAAAGAACTTAACTAGTCAAAATTTGCCAAAAAATAGTTTGCAGTGAGCTAATTGGTTTATTGACATATCTTGACTGGGCAATGGTTTTTTTTACCGCACTATCCTGTTATTCGATGCTATTCGAAAGTCCATGGCCAACAACAGGCGAGAATATGATCTTCAACAATCCCTATCTTCAGGTATATCTATTAATTTTAGAATTAAAACTGCTAAATCATCTGATAACATATTTTTCAGATTTGTGAATATATGTTTGTCATGTCGATGACTTTTGAACTTGCTGTTAAAATTCTCGCAAATGGATTTATTTTTACGCCAAATGCTGTAGTGCGAGACGTTGGTGGCGTGATGACTCTTTTTATTTACATTTTACGTTCCTTCCAATAAGTTTATTTAAATTTATTTTTTATCTTTTTAATTTTTGCAATTTCGACAAATTAAAAACCTGGAAATTATCTGATCATTCCATGCATACAAACGTAATTCCATATGTAGCAATCTTTTAAGCGATCTTTTAAATGATATATGATCTCTTCACAACTGATTATTAGTACGATTTTCGGGTAATAGTGATTGAAGTAAATGTTGAGAGTGAAAAAATTAATTTTAGGCAGGTAATGTGTAAGTTTGAAAACTATAATTTTAACACAAACACTTTCAACGTATAAATTTCATATTTTCTTCGATGTTTTTTTTCTCGATTTTTAAAGTAAAACTTTGGTGAAAATATTTATAAAAGCTTACTGGTATGCAGTAATATTAGAATGCCGTGCTTTTTGTTTTATTCATTAATTTTTGACTTCAAATTATGCGCCTCCTATTTTACAATGCAATAACAATGCACTATTATCTACATGATATCAAATTTTCCCTTATTAATTGTCATTATTGATTCAAAATTAACTGAATTTCTCTCACTGTACATCCAAAGATATATTTTCTGATCATTAAGATCATAAACTGATCATATTAGCTTGCAAAAAAATTACATCAATATATTATGGAATAATGAATGAGATAAATAATGATATGTTAAAAGAAAAGAATAACTTGAAAAAAAAAGAGAAAAATTAAATATTTTCCAAGAGAAGTTCAAACACACAGATAGAAAACAATGTCATGAATGTTTGTAAATTGTAAGAACATTTTTAGACGAGTGTTATTTATTTGATTTGGATGCCACGTCATGTGGAAATTAATTCATTAGCACAAATGATGATGATCTTTCGAGCTATGCGACCATTGCGCATTTGCACTCTTGTACCGCATATTAGACGTGTGGTTGTGGAGTTATGCAAAGGATTCAAAGAGATTCTCTTGGTACTTTACTCATTTCACTGAACACATTCTCTCTCAATAAAATTGCCGAGATGAAGTATTTCAGATGATTGAAATTTGCGCATTTTAGGTTACTACTTTGCTTATTTTGCTTATGTTCATATTCGCAAGTTTCGGTGTACAAATTGCCGGTGGCAAATTAGCTGCATGCAATGATCCAACGATCACTGAAAGGGTTCGTTTCAATGTTCGTTTCCACGTTTCAATGTGCTATCTATCCATAATCGATAAATGGAGTATTTCATTAAAATTAAACTCTCTTCTGTTTAAATGATGAAATTTGATTTGCAGGAAAATTGTTTCGGTTTATTTGAACAAAAAGTTTTCGTTACACGAATGGAGGTGTATGGGAAGAATGATAATGAATTGCATCCAAAAATTTGGGTACCACGAGTTTGGTAACATTTCAAATGATTTTATTTCCTTCTTTAACTTTTAATCTATCCTAAACAAAAAAAAAAACCAAAAATGTTGCAGGACAAACCCACGAAATTTTAATTTTGATCATATTGGCAATGCTATGCTAGCACTTTTTGAGACTCTTTCTTACAAAGGATGGAATGTTATTCGTGATATATTATGGATGAGACAGGGACCTGTAAGTATCTCATCTTTTATGAACTCTTCTGAAATTTAAATTTAAATCTATACTACATTATGTTTGTTTCAGTGGGCAGTGGTCTTTATTCATATATATGTCTTTACTGGTTGTATGATCGGACTTACACTTTTCGTCGGTGTTGTCATTGCAAATTATACGGAAAATAGGGTAAAACTTTTTATGATTTTATTTTAAAAATTTTTGATCAGATTAATTGCAAATTATATAACTGTTTCATTTTGGTTAAATTTAGTAAATTAAACAATCAAGCCTTATTTGATCAAGAAGCAATTTTTGCTTATTTCTTTGAATCTTTCGCGATACACGATGGTTTTCCTTTCAACATTACTTTACTGCTTTTCTTTCTACATTGTAGTAATACATTTAGAGTAAAAGCAAGAAGAATTGAATAAAATTTTGCTATATTTTAGGGTACAGCATTGCTCACAGTTGACCAACGACGTTGGCATGATCTGAAAGCACGTCTAAAAATGGCGCAACCTTTACACGTTCCACCGAAACCAGCGGAATCTGCTAAACTCCGCATTAGATTATATGAAATTACATTAAGCAAATGGTTCAAACAGGTATTTTCTTGTAATAAATTTTCCAAATAATGAACTGCAAATAGCTATTCCATTTTTGAAAAATTTGAAATTATCTAACATTTTTATTTTCTCAAGCTGAGCTTTTTTTTGAGACCGAAGAGATCTTTTTCTAATTTTCTCATTTACTTCACATTTTCCAGGTGTTCGCAATATTAGTAGTGATTAATTCAGTGACTTTATTCATTCCATGGAATGTTGAGGAAGAGAAGAATAGCTATAAGGCACTTGTATTTATGACAGGTGTATCGGCTATTGCTAACATTCTTTTCACTGTTGAGGTCATTTTTATTTTCCATTTCCTTTTCCAAAATTCATTAACAAAATCATTTCCTCAGTCTTTTTGTTTTAACCTTAAAATAAACTTGTAAATTTTGATTTTTCAATGTATTTATTTGTAGTCAATATCCCAATTAATGTATTTGATTGGAAGAAATCAGTTAGATGACTGAAAGAGCATCACAACTTATTGTTGGAAATCCAATCACTGGCACCATTAGCATTTAATGAATTAAATAAAATAATTCAATGGCTTCTTTAAGTTCCTCTCATATAGTCTATGCTAATTGGTCTTGAAAAATAATTGTTTTTTATAAAAAATACAGTTTCATCTTTTTTTTTTAAATTAATATGTTGTTAATTCTCTTTATCAATACATTTTGACGATGAATTGAAACTATTTTCTCATCTTAAAATGATTTAATTTCAGATTCTATTGAAGATGATCGCATTCACGGTACGCGGTTTCTGGCAATCCAGACGAAATCGAATAGATTTACTGATTACGGTACTCGGACTTTTTTGGATCTTTACTCATTTTATTATGGCCTTACCTGCAAGCGCTGTTGGCGGACCTACGGAACTCAAAGAATTTACATATACTTTTGGATATTTGGTGGTCATTTTGAGATTCTTCACCATTGCCGGTCAGTATGATCATTCTATTTCCTATTCCTTTTTTTGTATTACTTATAGTAATACTGTTCTTTTAATTCATATCATTTCGCAGAAAAAAAGCTTTTATTAATAAAATGGTGAGAACATTAATAATATATTTTTTTTTATTTCAGGTCGTAAGACGACTTTAAAAATGTTAATGTTAACAGTAGTGATGAGTATGGTGCGAAGTATGTTTATTATCACAGCTATGTTCCTTCTTGTACTATTCTATGCTTATACAGGTGTTATACTCTTTGGTATGGTTAAGTATGGACAAGCTGTTTCGAAGTTCGTTCTTCATTGTTTATTCATTTTAATTTCCCAATTACTTACTTTCATATATTTATATTATATAAGATTCACTCTTTTGAGTTCTTGTGTTCCTATTGCATATGCTCAACTGTCATTATGGATACAAGTAAAGTTTTCCGGTGCGAAAAACCGGAGTTAAAAGTAGGAGGTTTGGTTCTCTGAATTAAATCATTTTTCATTAAACGTTATCTGTTTAATCTATTAATGATTTAGAAGTCTTATAAAATGAGCCAAAGAATTTCTTCAGACATGTGAATTTTCGAAATGCAAAAGAAGCCTTAGTGGTACTATTCCGGAGTGTCACTGGTGAAGATTGGAATGATATTATGCATGATTGCATGGTACATTGCTAAATATTTATCTTTTGATATTACAAGATAGATTTATAAAATTGTCACATTCAAATGAAGCATTTTTATTAAGATCGAACTTACAGCTTTAGAATTAATTAAATTAATTGTGTAGAGTACAAAGAATTACCAAGTTTATCAGACCTATCTATATCATAAGCTCTATTCTTGTCATTTTACTTTATTTTGAAAATCTTGAGATTTTTTTTAAGCGCAGTCCACCATTATGTTATTGGAAACAAGGTGTCAGTTACTGGCAAACTGACTGTGGCAATTACTTTGGTGCAATTATTTACTTCTGCTCTTTCTACCTCATTATTACTTACATTGTTCTAAATCTTCTCGTTGGTTCGTTTCAAAAAAATTCCACGTCAACTTTAATCTTTTTCTTGAAAAATGTTACGAAATAAGTGTAAAAAAAAAAATTACTGTTACAGCTGTGATCATTGAGAATTTCTCGTTGTTTTACTCAAGCGAAGAAGATGCTCTTCTAAGTTACGCAGATATTCGTAATTTTCAACAAGTTTGGAATATGGTAGATATAGAACAGAAAGTAAGTGATTTGATAATTAAAAATTGTTAACACTATCTTGTCATTCAATGCAACTTATCATTTGTTAGTACTCGGACAAGAAATATATCAATCTTTTGGATATAGTTAATCATTAAATTATTTTACTTAATTAATTCATTAATATTTATGCATTTATAGCGTACAATACCAGTTCGTCGAGTGAAATTTTTACTCCGTTTACTGAAAGGTCGATTAGAAGTTGATCCAAATCGAGATCGGCTTTTATTTAAGCATATGTGTCATGAAATGGTTCGATTGCATAATGGTGATGACATCTCGTTTCATGATGTTCTAAAGTTTGTTATTTTCAAAACTTCTCCTCAATTATTACATAATTTATTTTTGAAATGGTTCAAATTGCTAGATGGCTTCATGACTTCAATTTCTTCTTTTTTTCTATCAATCAATTATAATGTGTATTTGATACCTTAATTATTTCTAATATTTATGATAAAAATAAAAAATTTTTAGTATGTTATCGTATCGTAGCGTGGATATACGGAAATCTCTACAGCTTGAGGAATTGCTACATCGTGAGGAATTGGAATATATCATTGAGGAAGAGGTGGCAAAGCAGACGATACGTTCATGGCTAGAAGGCTCTCTGCGACGAATCAAAGCACAAAAAAATGTGCGCTTTCCTGTTTTTATTTAATTTACTTCTTATACAAACTATTCAGTATCGACTCTCATCTATCTTACATTCATACAATGGAAACATTACGGTCATTTCCGCTTGCTTCCAGAAGCAATATGGTGATTTCCGTTTACTTCCAGAAGTAATATGGTCATTTCCGCTTGCTGTGTAGTATTTGTCCTTTTCTGCATATGAAAAGATTACGGAATAGATTACAAAAGACAAAAGATTATCCAGTCATTTGATATATTTAATTTTTTGACAGATACGTAAATTTATAAAATTTTCTGCCTGGGAGAAATGTTTAATAAATTTTGTGAAAATTTTTTCTTTCAGAAGGATATTCCATTGATTGCACATTTACGACCATTTCTCAATGAACAACATAATGTGTCTTCGATATTACAACTAAATCAGATGCCAAATCAGATGAACGCAGCAAGTAATCTTCAGCAAGATCAATTACAACAACTTGGTGAATCGATTGATAATGAGGAGGAGGAATTGATTAAATGCAAACCAACTAAAAGATCACGAAGGAGCAGTATTCCAGAACTTGTTGGTGTTCGTTTTTTTCTTTTTATTTTATTAAAACATGTAATAAACGATTTCATTAATCCTAAATTAATGGATTTAGAAATTTAATGTTTGAAAGTAACATTAAAAGGAGGAGATGAAGCACTTGCAGAATGAAGATATACTTAAGGAGGCTTAGTTCTGGTGATGGCTCATGATATTTCTGTCAAATTAGTAAAAATGTAAGTGTAAGATAAGGGGAGACGAATAGAGAAAAAGTTAATCAATTAATTACTTTATTTGAGTAAATTTAATAAGCTTTACATTCAATTTTAAGTTAAAATTGATGATAAGGCTTTACACTCAATTTTGAGTTAAAAATTTTAGATGAGAATTTTGAGTTAAAATTGATGATTCATTGTTTGTTTTATTTCATAATTCATTGAATACTAAAACTGAAATGTCTCATTTTGCTATTTGCAAATGAAATGGAAATCGTTTCGCAAAAAAAAAAAACATTACACACACAGTCATCAAATTTATGAATGAATGAATTAAAAAAACTATTAACAAAATGGTAAATACATTTTCTACGCTTTTTATTTTCTTTTTTTTGCTATACTACTAATGAAACTATTGTAAATTTTTCATGAATTCTAATTTTAGGAAGCTGCTAAAAAATTCATTTTTACTGGAAGTTCCAGCGCTCGACTTCGAGGAGTACATAGCGCTCAATCAGTAGATCGAACAATTTCTCGTGAGGAAAAAGGAATGAAATCTTTACTGAGCGCTGAACAAAGTATATCAATTGCTCGTGATGAAAGGAAGTCAATAAAAGGTGTTCAAGTTAATGTACGTACAGTATTTCTCATGTTCTATTCATCAGTATATGAAACGGAAACGCCGAAGCTTTTCCTATTTAAATAGATTTTCATATGAAAGTATGCAAACAAATAACTTATTCTACAGTGTATTATTTTCATTTACAATTTATCCCGATTCGAAATTTAAGAGAGCACGGAAATTAGCATACTATTTTCAGTTACCATCAAGCGAACTGCCTGATGTTAAAGAAAGAAATGAAGAGGATGTCAATAATGATTCGGGGAATTTTGTGGATCGGAGATATTCTGCAGAATCTACCCATCTCTCTGTTAATGAATTCAATAACGGTAATATTGAATCAAAAATTTTTTCATATTATTTTCTTATTTTTTTAATCTCCCTTTTTTATTGATTTATTGGGTTAAATTTTTTTCCGTCATGAACACATGAATAGTTTCAGTCCTCAGCTTAATTATCATCTTGAAAAGATTCTTTCGGAATAGTCTAAAATGTTTCGATGGTTACTGTTTTTTTAAAAAAAAAATTATTCAAGACTTTTTTCTAAGGACTTTTTGCAAAAATAAGCCTGAAGGTAAGCATAATTTTTGCTTTCATTGTCTCATGCAACCAAGCTGATGATATATTTCTAGAGACACTTATCACTCACATTATATCTCATCACTTTTGTTTGTTATCTGTGGTATCCTTTCAGATGCAGCTTCATTTACCGGTAAACTTGCCAACTCTCCTTTTATATCTTCTTCAACTGCTGAAGAAGATGCCCAGGTAAAGAAATGGTGGTCCGAATTCAACATTCTCATTCTCAGCTAACAATTGATCAAATTTCCTTCACCTGAATCAATGAAGCAACTCATAATTCTTCCATCATTTACCAATTGCGCTTACATGGTTTTTTTATTTTTGAAAATTTATCATCAATCCATACTTATTTTAATTCGCTGGATAGCACAACTCTTTACTTTCATTATTTAGTAAACAGCATTAACATTCCTAACTTATCACTTATCAATTGTAAATATTCATTCCCATGTGCAATTTGTTCCAACTGATCATTTCGAAAAAAAATTTGATGGCTTTATTTAATTATCTTCAAGTGTTAATTTTAACGATCAATTTTTGACTATGCAGTGGAATTACAAGAAATTAATCACTCATAAAGTATGAATCAAAAAACTGTCTTACAAGTCTACAGGAAATCGACGTCTTGCATTTCTACAGAAATAAATTTTGCTTTACAATTACATCATGCTATTTATTTTGAAAAATTTTCCATAATTATTACATCAACTTTTGATTTTATCCTTCAAATTATCTTTTTTATTTAAAGAAAAAGAATTCCCCATAATTTTTTCCTAATCTTACCAAAAGATAATGCATAGTAAAATTAGCAAATAATTGCAATCAAAATTTCTACCCGCGATACTCAGTTTTAGTTTTAAGAATAAGAACGAATTAACAACTTTTGCAAAATGAATCTACAAAGATGAGTTTGTGGCTTCAAATATTAATTTGAAATATTTTTTTTACTTTTGAAAGATGAAAGATTTAGCTATGAATTCCCAGCGACATTAATCAGTTGCGACATCTCCATCCCAACCATCTCTGCTGCACCGATGTTTCTGTCTCATTTACATAAACTCATTGAACTTTCGATTTTGTGAAAAATATTCGAATTCCATATGTTACAAAAAAAGTAGTTCGATTCCGGAAAAAATGACAATACTGTAAGGAACATGAAGATCTTATTGTCATCATTTCATTTCTGAATAGCAATTATTCTCATTTATTATTTTCACATAAAAATTCAAATAAAAGTGAAATAAGCTGAACCCTGCTAAGTTGAATTTATTTTTTACTAAAGAAATATTTCCAATTTTTTGAACAGCCGTTGGAGAAGTGCATGGAACGTGGAAGTGTAGCAATAACTGATTGATTATGCCATATTAGGCAGTTTATTACTTTAAGAAATAATTCCTCAAATTGCTTACTTCCTCACTAAAAGTACAGTTTATTTAATGCATAAATTTTTTTAATGTCTTCAACGATATTATTAGCAATATTAAACTTATTGCGCAAAAAGGAAAGTCAAATGCGAATTAATGATTTTAAAGATTGAAATAGCTCGAGCAAATATATGTATATATTAATTTAATGCATATACTGTCGAGATGAATTGAATTATGAAATCAGTGAAGGATATAAATTAGTTTTTTAATTTTGTGGACATTTCAGTTGGACAGGTTTACTTGGATTGCTATCTTTCTTTTCAAATACATTGCAGACATGTACAGTACAGTGTATCATTTTCAAAATACACTTTTTCCACTGTTTGAAAGATCTTAATTACTGAATGTCACTTCATATATGCTACCAGATTACAAACATTTCATTTGTTAAATGATTATGTATTAACTTCCGAATATCTCAGTATTAGGCAGACAAAAGATTCCGAAATCTCATCTTAATGCGATTTAGAATCACGCGCTTTGCAAATACTTTTCAACACTCAAAAATACATTTAATTCGTGGCAGCAGAAGCTAATAATTCAAAAATAAAAGTGCATGAATAACAAGAAACCGTTCATAAGAAGATTACAAAACTCTTTTTTTTTGGGAGAACAAAACAAGCAACGCAAAGATACTGATGACTAATACAATTACAAAGATAAAACACGAAGTGTCAATACAGATAAACAGATTTGATTGTGCTGATTAGTTCTTTTTTTTCAGAAATACAATAAGCGATAGAAAACGTACGATTCAAATCTGGTAGATGTAATATCCAAAAGTAGATGACTCAAATATTTCTAGAATTGAAGATATACAAGATGAATTTAGAAATTCCTAACTGTTCCACACGATAAATGGAAAGTTCAAGCTACAGAACAATAGAACAGTGCAAGCGACATGAAATCATGGTCGCAAACATGTTATAATTCCAATATCAGGTGAATTGCTTTGATGAAGAAACATACTTTTCTCAGCATTCCCGAAAAAAAAAAGATTCAGAACTTAAAAAAAAGCTCTCTTGTCTAAAAAATCAAATTTTTGTTCCATTTTTTTGAGCCAAAAATCACGAATTTCCATTCGGTTTCATTCGCCATATTCATCAAACACATCACATAATCACGAAGCATTGGAGGATTGATGATAGCTAAGTTTGATTTTTCGATGATAGACTGCTGGCATATTAAAAGCAATCAATAATGATATATTTTGCAGTGATGGAATCAACCAGTAATAATAACGAGAAGCAAAAGAACCATCCTTTTACAGTAATTCAAATACGTGTACAGAAAAAAATTCTTGGATAAATCAAATGCGAATTGGTGTACAGATTCAAGCATTTCAAAAAAAGCATTAGTAGCGGAAAGAAAATAACTGGATAGGATTAAGCAATGACAACAAATGTCCTCAACTAAAAGTAAAATTTGGAAATCGAAATGAACAATTATTAGCTCTGCACACGATTAAATTTTTGTATGAATATGATCAGTCCATGTTGGCATGGCAATAATAAGGACAACGTTCAACCCTAATTTCTGGAATTTATATAAAATACTAAAAATAAAATAATAAAGTTTCTATAACCAACACTTTACGAAATCCTTATAGGGTACAATAATAGAAATTAGCCTGGTCAGATAACTTCACGGCAAAAACGTTGTCCTCTTAGACAAACAAGAGGATAAAACAAATCACTATAAACATACACGTGCAGATCAATATACCCTACAACAAAAAGAAAACAAAACAAATGAAATCAATAAATCATTTTGTTAAGTAAATAAGAAAACGATTTCAACTTTTTTTTTGAAATTTCTTGAAAGAAAGCTGGAATTTTAAAGTCGCAATTTCCTCTTATACCAATTTTTTATTAAGTAGTAATTATCAAAAACACAAAGTTTAAACAAAAACAACAGTCGCAATTACTTCAACAATAATACCATTCTCCATCCTGGACGTTTCAGAGCTCTTAATAATAATGAACGAATGGAACAACAAGATAGCCAACGTGTAAAGCAGCGACAATTGAAGGCTCACAAAGATTTTTAACAAATTGTGCTTGAGCACAAGAATAACAAGAGACCGATAAAAGCAAGTTATTACTTGCTGATTCTAGTCTTTGAGATTCAAATTTGCAAAAATTGGCAGCCAACTTGAAATTCACGAAGAATGCTAAAATTCTTACTTTTTCCTAAATAAACGTAAATTCAATAACAAAGGTGGAACATATTTCTTTACAAAAGCCATATATATCACTACGCAAGGCAGCAAAATATATCAGAATTCAAGAAAAGCAAAAAAGTAACCATCAAAGAATCCAAAAGAAGAGAATCCTATCACAAATTTAAGCACAAGTTCAAAGACCAAATTGATGCTAATTGTTATGATCATCTTTAAAATGCTATTAAATTAAAAAGCCAAGTGCATAAACATGCAGCAAAGCATATTTATCACTGATCGCTCAACTTTCACTTGAATAGCTTGAATACTTTAAATATTAACAAATTTTGCTGCCTTGGGACTAAAAATTATAAATAACAATTATAATAATATTAATGATACAACCAAAATATACAAGATATGTCAAGTGGTGTATATATATTTCATACACACATCTGACTTTTTTTTCAATTTGGATTCGAAAAATTTTTCATAACAAACCAAATTCCGCATCATAAATTAAAAAAATTCACCGATAAAAACCTGATACTAGTTCTTGCGATCTTCAAAGTGCTGAGAGTGCACTTTTTTAATTTGTAATCTTCAACAGTATATTACACCGCCATTCTTGAAGGCTTGACGAAGAACCTATAGTTAAAATGTATTACATTTCCAGTAACTGAATGAAAATCGTCGGTTATTTTTAGCTTTCTATTTTTAAATGATTACAAGTCTATTTTTCAAAATAACGAATTAGAAAAACACAAATTTAAACGCTATAATATGAAATGAGGCTTAACATCTCAAAATATATTTTCAAATAATACCGCAGCAAACTTAAGTATCCTTAGCAGGCCGCCTTTTGTGTTTGAAGAAGAAAGTCCAAATCTATCTAAGACTAAAAACTCTACAATATTAAAAACTGCATTTCAAAATTTCAATGACGAAAATCAACAAATTTAATAAATCACAAATGAATGTGGGTTTTTTTCAGCATAACTTAAATTTGAAAAAATACATTAAATAATTACCTATGTTGAGCTTCTGTACACACCCTGAGTATTGGAAGTGCTTTGCCCATTGGCAGGTCCAGTAGTTAGTCGCTGTGAAAAATCACTAATGAGCTGAACAAGTCTTGCCTGTACAGCCTGCGACGACTGAAAATTACCGAGTACACGGACAGTCGTTGCTTTTTGTGCTTCATCATCACCTGCATCATCTGGAATTTTCACCTGTGCCCCTGTCATACGCTGCAACTCGCGAACCTAAAATATTTTAAGTGAAATTACTTCAATATTTGAATTTCCAATTTGAGTGTTCAATTCATTTAAAGTTGAGAAACTCGCATTTTGGCCTCCTTTTCCAATAATTCTTCCAACAAGTTTGTTGGGCACAGCAATTTCAGTACATAATCGTATTTCATCCATATAGTGGCAGCTTTGTTCAGCAATGCGCTGATATATCCAGAATTGTGCCTAAAAATATCATCTTGAATCAGCTCCAACATTAAAGTCAAGAAACATGAATGCGAGAGATAAGCCCATTAATTAAAATAGCCTAATTTTAGATGTAAGGTTTGCAGAAACAATTGGCGAGCAAAGTATGGTACAAATAATAATGACATTGTACCTTTTTCTGTCTAA